AAATTCCACTTCTGCTCGAACTGTTGTAACCTGAATTTTATAAATTGACTCATTGACTCGGCAAACGTTGTTTTACCATATACATTATTTCGAGAACTATACATGAAAAATTATCCTACTACAATTATTATATTCTCTATATCTATTGCGGCATATAAAAAACTTGCGATTAAAAAACAGAGGTTGATCGTAAAAGCGTGAAAATTTGAATTTGTATGTTTCAATGCTCAATCATAGTAAAATGAAAAAAAAAATTTACAAAAATTAAAAAAAAAATTGTGGTAGGTCACCCTTATCATTGAGGGGTATGAATAGATGTTGGCCGATTCTCAGACCTACCCGATATGCATACAAAATTTCATAAGAATCGGTAAAGCCGTTTCGGAGGAGTTTGGTAACAAACACCGCGACACGAGAATTTTATATATTAGATAAGTAGGCATTTTACTTTTCTTTTTCAATGGATAAAAATAAGCTAACAGCATATCAGCGTGACAACAATGAATGATAAAATAATAATGACGAATTCAGTTCAGTTTTACAATTTAATCGCGATAGTTTCCAAAATCGTCCCTAATGTTAAGTGAAAAATATCAATATTTCTATTAGACTTAAGAAATTCATTGTAAGTATTGTCGGTATATTCTGACTTTTTTTTAATGGGTGATAACGAAATGGTAACCCCACCACCCACCACCCATACACAAATGAGGATCAAAACAAGCCAGCCAGTCGTGACGAATTCCATAAAAATTAACCAAAATGGTTTCCAGGAGAAACCACGTAGAGGTCGACCTAATATGATATATTGTTAACAATGGTGCTGTTAGATCCCCATTACTAACAATCCCTTTCCCCCCGCACATTATGACTAGTGTTATAATAGGAAGTATTGTTTGTACCTAAAAACTTGAAGACAAAATCATTATAATTAAGATTACGAAATTAGAAGGAGGTATTGCAATTTAATAGAGGAACGATATTAGGGGAATGTAACTGATAATGAACAATATCAGAAGGTCATTTTTCCAAAATCATATGTGACTGCAATGCAGCCGCAGCAGCAGCAGTGTTTTTCAAAGTGTCGTTCGCGACCCCCTGGAATGGTAACCCCGCCTGCACTAACGGTATACGCTAGACGACCCCCTAGGAGGTCGCCAAACCTCTACAAAGGAGTCAGTTTCGCAAAGTAATAGATATCTGTTCTAGGTACTTCTTTAAGTATTCGCATCGCTCACCATCGACAGGGAATTCATCCCCACACGCTTAGACTTAAATGGTCACGTACAGTTCGGTTTCAAAAGATTTTTTTCCGTGAACGTTAAGGCTGTAGAATAAGTTTCCTGCCGAGGTTTCCCCTAAAGACTACAGTGTGGGGTTGTTCAAAAAAGATATATTAAACTTTCTTCAAGCCACGCAATAAAAATGTATTATTTATTTATTTATTGTATTGAACGAATACCTAACTATGAAAATAAATAACAATGTACGGATTTGATATTTGTAATATAATGAAATGCGTACCTATAGGTTTTTTTAATAGATGATAATGGAATGGTAACCACGCCTGCACTTATGGTATATGCTTGCGAGGCACCACTGAGGGATGATAGGTAAGAATGAAAAGGCAGGTCAATTAACCCATCGTGATGAATAAACCTGGACGGTGGTTTCCAGGGGGAACCACGTAGAGGTCGACCTAATAGGGTTTTTTGTTTTTTAATGGGTGATAATGGAATAGTAACCCCGCCTGTGCTATCGGGATACGCTGGCGGAGCACCAGTGAAGAATGATAGGTAAGGATGATGCAGGTCAGTTGGCCCATCGTAACGAATTCAACAAGAATTGTTCACGATGGTTTGCAGGGAGAACCACGTGGAGGTCGGCCTAATAGGGTATATTGCTAGCAATAGGACTGTCAAACTCCATTGCTAATAATCCCTTTCCCCCCTGACCTGATTCGGTATATTGTTAGCAATGGAATTGATAGTCTGCATTACTAACAAACCCTTCCCCCCAGGTTAGGAACTGCGAAGGGTAGGAAGTCGCAAAATATTTTTACATACTAAGGGAATCGCACCATTAAAAAGATTGAAAAACACTAGCATAGAGGGTCCAAATTATAATATTTAAAATGCTCATTGTAAAATACAAGACTACGGTCCATGCCACATAGTTTCTATGAATATAGAGACGAGTATATATATTAAATTTATCGTTTCACTCCGGATTCTAAATTAACACCTAAATATATTATTTCGCTCTCTTTTAGTATAATCAACTAGAATGCTCGAGAAAGTTCATTTCCTCAGTCATACTAATTGCATCCAGAAATACCGGTTATTATGTAAAATTACATTTCATTCAGTCCATTAGAACATTTTCTACGTCTAATATTATAGGAACGCATTAGACCATGTAATAACAAGTAAAAGATTATCCCGGTTTCTCAATTCACCTGTATTTTGTACGTACGCGACCTTTTCACCAATTCGAAATCGACTTTGATAATTCCTTTGCAATAGATAGGAATACTTCCATGTTGATTTTGTCACGGCAGCAGTCCCTGTTTATAAGGTTCCATACCAAAAAGGTACAAAGAACCATTATGGTAGGACTTTGTTTGTCCGTCCGTCTGACATACCGTTACATCTCAGCAACTTCAAATGTTATCAATTTACAATTTGGACCAGTTTTACATATCATTAACCCGCACATATTGGAATGAAAATAATATTTTTATTTTCTTTGCTAGGGGGTTCAAAACGCATATTCAAAATCCAAGTGGGGTATCATATGAAAGGGCTTCATTTGTACATTTTAAAACTGATTTTTATTTATTTTTATGCAGCGTAGTTTTTAGTCATAGTCAAAAATGTAAAAAAAAAATCCCACCCTCCCTCTACTCAGTATAAATGGTCGACTAACCTACAGAGCTCGATAAGAAGAAATGAAAAAGGCCTCAGGATTATTCATTAAACCGTCCTAAAAATTAACCCCCCTATTAATAAAAACTAAAACCTTCTACAAATATGTTTTGACTTATTTTGTCACTTTTTCAAATTGGATTTTTTTTATGTATAATAATGGAGTGGTAGCCCCGCCTGCGCTATACTGGCGGGGCACCAATGAGTGATAATTGATGAGGATTAAAAGGCAGGACAGTCAGCCCATTGTGACGAATACAATGATAAATTAGTCACAATGGTTTCCAGGGGGAACCGCGTGGAGGTCGACCTGATAGGACATATTGATAGCAATGGGGACCAACCGCCCCAGTACTAACAATCCCTTTCCCCCTAATTGGAAATCTAACTAAAAACCGAAAGAGACAAAACTATTCAATAACTAAAATAGATTTGTGGGTAGAGGTTTGACGTTTTTACGAATAAGGCGGTAAAATTGTTATTTAATATTTTATTGAAACTATTACGTTACAGACCATTAGGAACTAAATTTAATGTAGTTATAATTGCTCTCTATTCTCAGGTAGTAAAGTAACGTCTGCGATTTAAATATGACGTCAGTTTTAAGTCATTTTAGGGTCGGTCACTAAAAATCGACGTCAATGTGACGAAAAATTACTACCTCGGTTATGGACTTAAATCCATACGGCACGTGTCTTTGGGATAAAGTTTTCGTGTTGGAACTACATTTGATATTACAATTAATATTACAATCAAATTAAAATATTAAAGAAAAAGAGAGAAAGAGAGACTGGGAGTTGCGCTTCAGAATTGACCACTGCTTCACCTATGGAGTCCTATTTTTCTCATTTATTGTTTTAAAATGACAAAATAATAGTTATTAGAGACATGTTAAAACCATAGTATGGCTTTCCCACGAAAATCGAGGTAATAAAACTTAATTCTATGGAATGGCGTACCTGTGAAACTTTTTATTCGTCTGTCCGTACATTGGTAATGACATTAAAAGCATAGAAAGTGTGACATAAATGTGATGACGGTCGTCGAATGATAGGTGCTATTAATTTTAAATTAGCCACAAAATAGGTACATTACGGTCCATTGTTTAAAGTGAAAATTGTACTTTGTACTTACATTGACCTATGTAGAGTAAACGGTTTATAAAAAATTACATTTTTCCAAAAGGCGTCAAGTCCGAGTGGTGTACTATCCATATATATTTATAAATCACTAGCTTTTTCACATGACTTCATCTACTTTCCGGAATATGTTTAATAACCGGTATAATAATTTAAAATTGCGTTCCACAAATAAAAACGACTTTAATTATGACAAAAAAATAAACTCCTAAATCGATTTTGATAAAATTTCTATGGTGGTTAATTGTATTTAATACGTTTTGAATTTTTTTCATACCACAAAGGTGGCAAACGGATATACTAACTGTATGTTGGTAAACGGTCACTGTAACCTATAGACACCTGCAACATTAGATATGCCATTTGCGCGTTACCGACGCTGAAGAAACCTTAATACCTTTTTTAAAAACTCTATACAGTAGTCTCTAAAGAAAACCTCTGCAGGGAGCTCATTCCACGACCTAAGCGCTAGCAGGAGAAAATTTCTTCGAAACCGCACTGTACGTGACCATTTAGATTCAAACGTATGAGAATGACTTTCCTGTCGATGCAGAGCAGTGCGATGATAAAAGTTGGCTATGGGTATCACTTCACACACACTCACAATTCCTCAGCACACAATCCCTTAAAAAAGCGGTAGGGACACGCAAAGGGAGGGAAAATGAATCAATTATGTATTAAATCCCAAAAAAATATAGATATTCTATAATTACTTAATTATACCTTAATTTTCTCACATTCAGGATAAAGAAATGGGTTATCTATAAATATGTATCAACACCAAACGAATTATATTCTTGTATAAATTCATACTTATTCAATTTCTTTTTATTCTACCAACTTGTAATTTATTTGAAACAACAGATGAGCGTCATCTATTAGTTAACTTGTAATGTTGTTTTTTTTAATATAATTAACTCATATATTTCTTCAGGTTCGCGCCTATGGCTGGCCGCAGTGGCGTTACAAGTACTACTGGTGACGGCCAACGGCAAACACCACCGACGGTCAATGCCCACACAAGCGGTAAGAAAATATTCCATTATTTATTATATAATACTGAAAACCAAAAGTCCGTGTGGTCCCGGCATAGAATAGGCCACCTCTTCTTTTCTTGTGGGTGTCGTAAGAGGCGACTAAAGCAACTCAATGGTAGATGGATGAGCAGCAGCGTCTCTCTTAAAACAAAAACTGACAAAACTCCCCTTATGGGGAAGGCTTACAATCAATAGTGGACAGATGACGTCAATACTGAAATGATGAAATATAACTGAAAACCAATCGCCGTATAATATTAAGTTTATTTTTTCTAAGTTTGTCTTAGCTACATGTACGTGGATTTTTTCTTATGTAGAACAAGGAAAGTTGTGAAGCAGCCTACCTAAATATTGCATTACGTAACAGTCTTAATATAATGAATTTATTGAGATAGATGTTATTTTGCAAAAGACCTACAATCAATTTTCAAATTTTGGCAGTGGTACGCATTCTGATGGTAAGGGAATTAAACGTAATAATTCTAATCAAATAACCAGTCAATATAATTAATTTCTTTCTTTCCAGACACTGCCAGTTTCGAAAAGCGGATGGAGACCAGTACTTGGCTCAGGTGGTCTCCTGTATGGATCATACGGAAACCCAGCGCTTGGCGGACCTTCATACAAGATACCTGTACCTGTTCTGGACTTGTATCCATCTTCGGCACGTCCGGTATCTACGAGAGATGCGACAAAACTGACGTCTATAGCGCAATCTTACCGTCCAACTACCCTCAGAACAGTATCCTCCGCGGCCCCCTCTCCTCCCTCAAATCAACCTATTAATTCGTACCACAATCCCTTCGCTCTTCCCAACAACGGCATCACATACAAATATGTACAAAATTTCCCAGTAGACAGCGTTCTCATTAGAAACCCTCAGAACCCTTTCGCAGCCAGGCCGATCTTCTCGAAGTATCCCACAAAACTCAACCAGGCATACCACAACAGCATGCTACAGCAGCTGACGCACGTGCAGCCCGTTTATTTTGGGCAATACCACAACAACAAACCAGTGGATGTCTTTGGAAAGCCAGTCGAAAGTTACGTGAGGCCGACTGACCCGGTCAAACAATCACACGGCGGTACTGAGATCTATAAGACGGAGGTATTTAAACTTCCTGACAGCGACACTGCCTCTCAATCTGTCAGCCAACAAGTGAAGACGGCACAGCAGCAGTCATTCGCCGCAACTTCTAAGACTCCATACTCTCACTTCTCCTTTAAAGACTCTGTTCTTCCACCAAGCATTTTAGGTAACGATAATTGTTTTTATCATTATTTTTACAACTTAAGTTTAGTCGAGAATTTGTCTATCTGTATAGACTATAGCTGAACTAATTTCAAAAAACTTTAATATTAATAATGCTCAATTCCTAATTTTTAAATATCTAATTTAGTAAAACAAATATATGCTCACTATTATAATCCTTATTGGGATGATCAGAAGCATTTGTCAATTGTTGTCGTTGTGGTAAACGTAACTTTCAATATGTTCATATTTTAGCGTGTTTATGAAAATCTGACGTGGCAATACGACATCATAGCGTTAATTTATATTGACTAAAAATTCTTATCTCTTGTAATTCATAATATTTTCTTACATTTCAGGTACATTTGGCTCGTTCGGTGTACAATCAGTTAAAGGAAGAGATCCAATTTACTCAACAACCAAAACTACGCATTTATCTCCACAACCTACTAAACAGACTATCTTTAATTCATTTAGTTATACTCCAACATATAAAACCACCCCAACATTTAGCTCCACTACACCGAAACTACAAACGACTTTTAACCATTTAAATTTCGGATCAAATTTTAATGATTATAAAAATATACCCACACAACAGACAAAAGTATCAGTTCCTGTGAAAATAGACCCTAACGTTGGATCCAAAGGTAGTTTTAAACCAAGTCCACAAGATCCATTCATCAAAAATCAAAACGATGTTGACAACAAACCAGTTATAACAACTTACAACCCAATACTATCAACAACTATATCAAGTAATTATTTCGACTACAATTTCCCATCACACCATAACACACCAATTCAAACCAAACAAGAGCAACCAACGTTTAGTTATGAGAAAAAGAAACAGAAGATACACGATAGTGTAGCGGCTGGCGTAAACCAGTCATCCCAGCAATACGTTTCACCGCCTAAAAAACAAACCACAAATTCCGTTATACCCAAACCGACTTACGAAGTGACAGAAACTACTGCTTCCGACGACATTATCACTCACTCGTTACCACCGGCTTGGACGTACGACCACCTGAAGTCGACTGAACAACCAGTAACAAAACCAATAAGTCATGACATATACATTAAACAAACAACATCTGCTGTGCCAGATCTACCCGAAGAATACGCAATAGTAACAGAAGCCGAAAAGGCCTATGACAACTCTTTGAGCTACGATGGCCAAGTCGAATCTCAAAGTAGGCGGCCCCTAGGCGATGACTTCGAACCTATCGGCAAGCATAAGCTTAAAGACTACTATTATAAGGTATCTACTTCATCGTACGATGACTATACTACATCGAGACGCACGAAAAAACCAACTGAAGCATCTCCAGTAGACGTAACTACAGATTTTAATATAATTAAAGAAAGTAGCAATGAAAAACCGGCTGATGCTTTACCAACGCTTCCACCTAATAAGCATTTCAAACGGCCAAATCAACAAGAACCACTTGACAAAGACAAAATACGAAAAAGGATCAAAAATCGAAGACGTCGTCCACCAGTAAGTAATCACCATAATAAGGAGGAAACAACAAGTACGACTACTACACGTAAATTTGTCCATTCTACCACAGAATTGCCACAAACTACTGAAGCAGAAGAAGTGCATACAATTAGACCTAGGGTCCGACCCCTAAAATCAAAACCACAACCTAATCTAACAACACCTAGTGTCACAACAGATTTAACAACTAGTGCGTTACCAACTCTGTCACCTACAATCCCCACTATATTAAAAAAGAAACTCGCACGGAGACCGTTAACTACAACAACGGAGAGGACTGAAACAACGACTCAATTATTTAAAGATTACGACAATAAAGATTCCTCCATAATGAAAATCACAAGCCGCCCTCAATTTCCTAAAATAACTTCTGCTTATGATTATAAGAATGCTGATGTACCAGATTACACACACAAACAAGACGAAAAAGATACACCGACAAGTGACGTCGCTGTCAGCCTTAGTGATGCAGCGCTGCACAGCACACCTGAGGCAGCTAACTCATTCGCTTTTCATAAAGACGTTAAACCAATAGAAGCAATAGATATAAGAGACACTACAACAGACTCTACAAGAATTACTACTGATATTTCCTATGAAACTACAACTAATCGACCAGAAGCATCTGAAAATTCAGGAAGAGTACAAAGACCAAGACTTAAAAACAGATTTAATCGTCCCAAGTTCAGTGTCAAAGATTACAGGAATCGACTCAATTCAACCACGAGTACTACAGAAAAATCGTTAGACTCAACAACTAAAGTGAGATTCCCTCAACGAAAAGTACCAAATAACGACAACTACTTCAACAGCGAAGTCGAAGTGACTACGGAGAGGAAGAAATTTATACCTAAAGATCCACGCCATAAGATTAACAATACAGAATTTAACGAGGAAACAGAAAAAGAAATACACTCTTATAGACAACCAGCTCGACAGAAACAAACAGGAGATACAACGGAGGCAGCGTCACAAAAAATATCCTCTAGAATCCGTAATGGACTACGACGGCCAAAGCCAACAGAAGAAACAACTGAGAGTGTAAGTTCCACTGTAGTTCACAAAAGACCCTTAAGAAAGAAAATTAAAGATTCTGATACAGGCGAATCGGTGCAAGACGTGAGTGTTACTGAGACTACTGTACATTATGATCAAAAGAACGACATAACGTCGGAGAGAACCAGATCGGAAAGCGCTATTATGAAAATCGCTGACAAGAAACACCAAGATCATCATTTGGAGCACTTGTTTGAGCATTCCAAACGAGTTTCAGACCTAACTTTGGCAGCGAGCAAGGACTACAACACACCTGGTATGTTTAAGACGGTATCTTCAAACAGCAGACGGATACCAAATTACTTTACAATAGCAACGGACGACCCCATTCTACCCATAGAGGCGTTCTTTCCGCAACTGAACCAAAAGAAGGAATCATAACGTTCCTAAATAGTTAAGTTATTGAAAACCAAATCTTTCCAACTGCCAAAGCGATATAACTTCTATAAAGTTTTCTTGTACTAACATTATTTAAGCACAAAGATGAATTAATATTTCTAATGATTTCTAAAGCATACGGTGAGAAGTAACTCCGCAGAGACGATTTCTAATAATGTCGATTTAGAAATCAAATTAGTCTATTTATACAAAAGCGATTGCATTTGATTAACTATCACTGTATTTATATAAGACTGTACGTGTATATTCCTTATTAAGTGGTGCTCATTATAGTATAGGTAAACATATCTTTTTAAAGTAATAGAATACAGGTGTACATAAGTTTTTGTGATTTTATCTGAAATTTTTTGACATTTTCGAGGCTAAACTAGGAATTGGGAATTTCAATTCAGTTTAATTTACAGACTATAACGTCAATAAAATTTTCGGAAGGACAAATCGCAGATATCTTGTAATATTAAGCTCTCTACATATAATATTGAATAACTCATACATGTCATGTTTGGATATTTAGATAAACACATGTTTCTGTATCCAACTTTTGGGATCCAAAAGTAACCCCGAAATTTTGGTATGAAACATAATGAAATGAGGCTCGTAGACGAAGTGGCTGAACCATCGAAATTGTACAATTTTGTCAGCATATTTTTCGATGTTTTAATATTAAATTTTTAATTAAGTTCTTGTTTTGTTTCCATCTAATATTTCGGAAAAAATTCATGGTATGCAAGCTGATTCGTACTTATCGAAAAATATCACAAAAATCGAAGTAACAACTGTTCTTTATTATAAATCAAGTGACAGTAAAAATCTTTATAACTAGTATCGCCCGCAATATCTTGCACTCCGCACACCTCCAAATTAGTGTATGTGGGCTTTAGAAATAATTTGTTAGACTGCAAAAATACTTCTTATTAATATGGTCATTAAACTCAATATTTAATGTCAAATATCTGGACTCATTGTATGAGCATTCATTTCTGTGCATGTGTATTATAATATATTTTTATTTGTATAAATGAGTGATTATGTGTGTTGTCAACAACATCAATGTGTTTGTATGATTTTTTTTTGTTTAATGTGAGTCGGTCGAAAGAATAATACTTATAAAATATTTATATAAAACATTAGTAGGTAATTGTGTAAATAAATATATTTCTTAACAAAATTAAAAGCTTTTTATTCAATATTCTCTTACACAATACATGAGTTAAGGTAATTGAATTCATATAGAAATTAACCAGCATTTACTTCTTCACTTTGAGATTTAGACATTTTCTGAATACATTTGATGGCTGCGAGATGAATCGTCTTGTCCAGTGAATCTGCGAAACAAAGTTTTTCATAAATATCTAAACGATATTATAACAACGAAAGTTTTATTTGTTTTATAATGGATAACCTCAAAAAATACTTATATTCTTTATTGCACCAAAACATACAGTAATAATAACAATTAGAAACAAAGGTGAACTTATCTCTGAAAGAGATCTCTTCCGGTTAACCTAACATAATAACATAGGAAGTAGTAAGTGGGCAGCAGTAGTGCAAAACAGAAAACTTATTCTATTTTTAAAACTTTTCCACCTGTAGAAAGGTACTTTATCAGCGAATTATATGCACTATATTTTAATTAAAAAAAATGTGCAAATCCGGAGTAATTCACTGGTTATTTATGTATACTTATATTAATGATGTATTATATAATCTATCCAAAGGAAGGCATTATAGGTTCAAACGTCGTCTTCATGGCAGCCTCTATTAAACTGTTGCTAATACCACCAAGCTATTATACTTTTCAGCTCTACTTTGTTTTAATTCGTTTAATTGGAGGAGGTGAATGAACAATCTGTTGAACCCATCACAAGCAACACTGGCCTGTCAGTTCTAGATCGAATTAGCATCGTCGGGGTTACCATACTATATTTATCCATTAAAAAGGTATCAAATCACACAATATTTTTAATCATACTTACATATTTTATGCTGTCCCTTGACCGGAAAACGTAGCCTCAAACTGATGGGGTTTGAACAAATAAACACGTACGGACTATCGCTCTCACCGTCTGGGTATCTATTGGTATGGATAAATATTGAAATTTAGAGAAACATTCCATACAGATTGCAAACATTTTTAAGATATATTCAAATAAATAAATATGTTTTAATAGAAACTCTAAATCCAAATTTAAACGCAATCAGTTAGGCTATATTAGCTCTAATTTGATTTAAAAATTCACATGTATGTATATAACATGCATTTATGACATCTAAATCAATAAAATGACGCTTTAAGATTGTTTCGTTCCCCACCTAATATAAAAATTCTTTTGATATTATAGCTAATATTGTAAGAATCATTCATACTTACATTTTCTGATATTCTTCTTGCGGCAAACAGTCGTCTACACTAACGCATCCCAGAAGGCACCCAGTCGGGTAGAAGCTAGGGAATTTCAGCTGTTTATCTATAAATAAAATGAATATAGTTTTTAGGTTTTTAAAGTTACAAACATGGAAAATATATTATCAAAACGTAATAATAAAATATGTAGTATCAGTGTAGGCTTAGTTTATTAAGTTTATTTAAACATAAATTTACGTAGAAGTACGAAAATTTTAAAGGTGAAGCCCTTTTAGCTTCTATTTACTATGCCCCATAGGGTCTTTACTGATTTTAAGTTCTTTTGTTAATATTTTAGAATGCTACAAATGCATTAATAATAATCAAAGACTGATTACTAATAAAGATGGTTTCCCATACCAGTGGTGGTCGATCCTTCAAATCACATATTGGTAATCGTATGCATACTAATAATAGCATAATTAAAATATTTTCAGTTTATTTATCCGGCTCGAAGGACCATATATTAAAGAGCTTATGATAAAACATCGGCACAGTACAAATGATAAATAAAAACTATGTGTAAATATTAGGTATATGTTTCTTAACGTAATTCAGTTTTTCAGATTCTCGATTTACCGCATAAGAGACTTAGCTTAATGACAAATTTCTAGTAGTAATCATAAAATAGATCTTACCCGGATATAAAACTCTGTACTGGTTCTCTATCGCCCTGATGACGTTTTGATCAGGAGGTTTCACAGTGGACGCGATCCACAGCCGACCGCGATGGTTGGTATACCACGTGCGGCCCTCGTGCCTGGGTGTACCATTATTGTTAATGAAAATAATAAAAATCTATAGTAATAATACTATATCCAGAATATAAAAAATAATCTCTTTCGGCATGTTGAGCCGTTAATCGTCTATTATTAAACATAACTCCGTGCTCCGTCCATAAATCTTACTCACATGTATGTCATTATCACCTACATATAGGCTATTAACTGTCTACTGCAGAATATAGGCCTACGCTTGGCAGGCTGGTTTCCAACCGCAGTTAAAGTTTGGTGATATTTTAAGAGTAACGTTGCTGCCTATCCCTCGACCATTAAGTTAATTTAGTCGCCTATTACGACACCCACAGGAAAGGACGGGGTGGCCTATTCTATGCTGGGACCGCACGGCAAATTATGTCATTAAATAAGGGGTTTGTCACACTTAGGCATCTTAATACTATAATAATAATACTCAAACTCACAACTTGATCCCTTCAACGAGTAAAGAGGCCCAGGGTTGATGCATGGAGAGACAACGGCCGGTGTCGCTCATTTCCTGCAGCTCAGCGTCTTGTATGCGTGACAGCTGGGGCCCTAAATTCTTCAACGCTGATGCATAGCCTTTATTCTCCACGGTCGGATCGAACTGTCAAAAAACATTAGTCGAGGATTATGATAAAACCTTACATAATATAGTATATAGATTGGTAATGTAAAAAAGAAAAAGCCTTATAAAGTATATGTTAGAGCGAGATAGAAAAGTACGACCTACCTACAGAATATAAGCTCGAAGCTAGTTTGGCGGGAGTTTAAACAAAACAAGTTTCAATTATTTTTACGTTTTAAGTTAGAATTAGTTTCAAGTGAATGTAGTTGGAGAGAACTAAGCGTGTTGTACCTGGATATAACATAAATTAGGAAAAATCCACAAAATAGCACATTTTTTTACGTAATTACGTTTCAAACATTTATCTCGCTATATGCAATATTATTAAAGAACTACAAATATTTTGTACAAGAATTGGTAGAAAAACATATCTAAATAAACCCAAACAAAGACAATTAATTGACACCCAGTGTAATATAACTAATAACGTAACCCATTACTATGTCATTATTATTATAAAAACAAATACCTGTAGCAGCGGGGGGAAAGGGATTGTTAGTAATAGAGTTTGATAGCCCCATTGCTAGCAATATGCCTTATTAGGTCGACCTCCACGTGGTTCCCCCTGGAAACCATCGTGAATATTTCTTGTTGAATTTGTCACGATGGGCTAACTGACCTACTTCATCCTTCACTGGTGCCCCGCCGGTATATACCGATAGCGCAGGTGGGGCTACCATTCTATTATCATCGATAAAAAAAAAATACCTGTAGCAGCGGTGCGTTGACCCCAGGCGCCACGTCCCGGTCGCCGGGGAGCCCCGGAGCGCCCACGAACGCGTCCGGCTGCAACCACTGGCTTGCTTGCCCCTCATCACTCATCTGCCTGATCTTTTCCTCGTCCACCTCGTAATCTATCGTATTATCCTCGACAACTTGACGACCTGTATGTTTACCAGAAATGTACGTATGTTCAATGAGGAAATAAAACCATATTACTAATGTATGTGAATGCAGCCCGAACCAAAGACGAGGACATCATAGTTACAAAGTTACGAATCATGAATCTTTTAACGACCCTAAGTAGTTTTTTTTTTATTTTTTTTTTATACAACTTAGAATGGCAAACAAGCTGACGGCCCACCTGATGGAATGTGGTAACCGTCGCCTATAGACATGAGCAGTACCATGGACATAACAGAGTATACTGTTTTGCCCATGATACCCCCCACGCTTAAGTAATATGTAGGATCCAATAAATATGCTTTTTTTCATCAGGTCGATCTCCAAGCGGTTCTCCATGAAAACCATAATGGTTAATTTTTGTTTAAATGGTCAGTATAGCCCAACGAACCTGCCTTTATCTACACCTGTCATCCTTCACTAGTACCGCGCCAGCGTATACCTATAGCACGGGCGGCGTTACCATTCCATCTTCACCCATTGAAAAAAGTACCAATATGAAAGAATTTCTATCAGATTCAGAAATGTCAATAAAATAGTAATTTCGCGAAAATTTTAATTTAAAATATGAGCTTTAGAGATAAATGTATAAAAATTGCGTTTCAGAATCCTTTCCAATTTCAGTTAGTGCACTGCAGACTCGATAATTTAATTGGTGTTTTACAAAATCGCGTCTAAACAGCCAAATCGATTTAAAAGAAAGACTATAAGATTTGATTGATTTACTACCATACATAGGTGTATTTGGCGCAGGTGGCAAAAGACCATTCCTTATGACGGTCTATGGGAGAGGTCTATGCTAAGCAGTGGACAGATAATGGCTGAGATGATGACGATGAAAATCACCAGAATTTTTTGGTGTCTCCCAAAGAATATGAGCAAAGTTTCTCAAATATATATCCGATATAACCCGTGCTCCTTTTTAAGGAATTGAGCCTTCTCTAGAAAATAATCTTAAATATATTAATAGTTGCATATACATACTATGATAAGATCAATAAAATTTGTCACTCACCAGCAAAATCGAATGTCATCTTCTTATGGAGGCGTGACGAGTGCTTCTTCTCGTGCAACTCCTGCTGGTACTTCTGCAGTTTTTGTTTCTCGTTCGAGTTCAACCACACGCTGTTTACATTGAAATAGTCGCTGTCGTCATCCGTCACCCGGGTGCGGCGTTCACTATACACAAGTATACAACAAATATTTATATAAATCTTCAAAATCTTTAAAAGATGAATATTCTATTGAGTAAATTATGTTTTTAACACTGAAAAAATCTGTTCTCAATTGTATAAGTATATGTAATATTACTTCTAAGTTAGTATAAATAATAATAACTCTTCTAAATTAGTATATATAGACAAATATTTTTACAATCTGTTTCTAACCTAGTTCTGTCATATTCGAGCAATTTATTCCTATGAGACAATGCCTCTTCCCAGCCTTTGGGTCTGCTCCTTTCCAGGAGTGATTCCATCAGCTTAGCACTAGCTTTTGTCTTAGCATTAATCTCTTTCTGCTCTTCTGGTGTGCACACCTGTATAAATAAAGCAGATATGAATAGATCATCAACTAGTTTTTACCCGCAAATTCGTCTGCATGATCACATTTTTATTACTAAAAAAGTACTCACGTCCTACTCAATCCCATATAGTGTATGTATACCAAATTTCATGACGATTGGTTAAGCCTTTATGATACTAAGAGAAAACAAACCTCACTTTCATATTTAAAATATTAGGAAGGAAAAGATTTAAAGTTACGCATTTTTATGAATATTATTATATTATTCGAAATTTTCGGAACTAAATGTAATGCAATTTTAGTTGAATAGTACCTACATACTTAATTTTTTATTATTACCCATATTTCATCATGGAACGCAGCACTTTCATAAGTGGCTACTATTTACCTGTAATCGTATCGCATTCCAAATTTAAATAATCATCAATTAAACTGATTAAATTTAAATTTGATTAAAAAACAATAACCTTTACATATTTTTACACTTTTTATTTAAAATTTTAATTATTAGTAGAATAAATAAAATATATGTATCTTTTACTTAAAAGTAGCAACAACTTACAAGATTGCCGCAAAAAAGGCACGGCCCCGAGCCCTCCTGTTTACAAACAACTCGGCCACACTGCAGGCAGTTATTAACTAGCTCATGTTTGGACGCTTGACAGTCACAGCGGTGGCGACCTACAAATAATAAATGTTTCGTTATTACAGCACATTTATACACAATAGAAGCTACAGATAACGCTCTATGTCGAGGTTATATTGACGCCAAAGAAAGAGCTGAGTGAGGCCTGTAAAGATCCAAAGAAGCTTCTGTGCTTCTGGACTAGCTACACTAGCCATGACTCATACGCATAATGGCCCAAATGAGAGCCTCAGCACAGAAAAGGATTTCCAATTTACATTTTAACAAAAATTTTTCTTTATGTTTATTAATTTTACATTTGTTTCTTCTAACAATCAAAGGACTTTGTTGGATGAATTAAAGTTACAGTAACAGACATTAAAAAATCATTAATCCTAGATAGACTGGTTACTACAAACATTGGTCAGCAAAAAGTAAATTTGTAGATTTAACTAATGTAAAAAAAGGTGTATCTTAATCATATGTATAATATTCATTTGGAATATATGTCCTTAGTATTAATATATGTCCACAGTTTTTCTTAAAATGAATACAAGTAGTCTATTAATTTATGTTACTTTTATGATACTTTACTAATTCAGAAAACACAATGCCTTCAATCTACTGACCTTTCAACAATATAACCTGAGCATTTCTACCCTCTTGAGAGTACAAATTAACAAACTTGGTCTTCTTTTTGGACTTGGCCTCCTCTTCTTTCTGAGCTGATGGAATCTCTACCGGCACAGATTCCTGCTGCTGTTTGCCCTTTGATATCTTCTTTTTATTCTGTTTTGGTATAGAACTTCCTAAAATTATTTTAAAATATCTACTTAATATAAGTGTGTGCTTGTCTTTTCTAAAATTATCATATGAAGAAGTCCTTACAAGTACTCAATACACCTATAGTGATATTTTGATTTTTTATGTTTGTCTTTATTAGCAAACACTTTTCAAATTACTAACTTTGTACAATTTTTTTTTTATTAAGATTGAAATTAATTGCTGCATGGTCCTACACTATTTTTGTAAATTAATTCAAGCCTTAATTACCTATTCAGGTATTAATATACTGAATACAAAACCCCATTAAAAAAAAACTAGATCATCAACTGTTTTAAAACAGTCCCATGAAATGTTTGAAATAATAACTTACAAAATTCAAACAAAATTAAAATTTAGATTACTTAACAATTAAAAAATCCTGTTTCCAGAGTATTGCACAATCTCATGTAAAAAAAAAAAAAACAAAAATATAGGTTACACTTACCTCTAGGTACAAATTTTTTTTTAGCCAATTCTAAAAAGAATTTTTTATGTTGAGTATTATCAAAATCTAACAAAGTTTTCATATATTCATTCAAATCAGTTTCATTTTCAATTGACAGAATGTATCTGGAAAATTAAAAATGAACAATAATAAAAAGAGATACTTAAAGACACTGCAAAATACCAAAGCCAAATAAATATATTTTTTTTACTTACTGTATTAAATCTTCCGGAACTTGAAAATTTAATATAGTAGATAAATTCTCACTTATCCACTGTTCCATTTTAAAATAATAGCTGCTGAAAATTAGATATATACCTATTTCTGAATAGTTGTTTGTTGTGAGAACATTTAATTTTATAATATAATATTGTTTTTTAAAGAGACGAAAATATAATTTTTTTTCTCTTCTAACCTCATGAAACAGATAAACAGAAAAACCAGCTAAATAGTCAACTACGCCAGCTGATAATGACATTGACAGCAAAATTTTACGTTTTTAAGTACCTGCAGAACGACATATTATATTTAGTCTATAACAGATACTATCCCAAATCTAGGTAATAACGATCTAGACATTACATTAAACTAGATTAGCTACAGATATGTGAAATTAACCTACAAAAATTATCTAACAGCTAAAAGTTAGAAATAATCTAAGAAAATAAATACCTTCTTTATATCATCTTTGCTACTACCCTTTGGCTCTTGCTTGTAGTCTATCTATGGCAGACGTGACTGTATGTACCAGTAAATAGTCCACTCTTAGCTTAAGAGTAAGTAGACAGCTTAAATTGACAGCGATCACAAATACTATTGTCACTGTCAATCGGTGTCACTATAAATTTAATAATAATAAAAATATTTTAATTCCAATTTCAAAACTTTGAAAGTATATATCCATTAATCTTATAAATATCAGGTATTTAATTTATTCCTTAAATAGATTTTAGTAATATAATTGTTATAACACGGTAATACAAGACGGGATAATTGACTGACACTAACATTTTGTTTACGTAATTTGGTAACCTATCTGGATCTCTCTTATTAGAAAAATTGAATTTGATCAACATTGTGAGATTAAAACCTTCTTAGATGATACCGGATCAAACGTAGTATTAATTAGTTTCAGCTTCAATATGTCCATCTCACCATTTCTCCGCTCGCCGTTCACTGATATCACGGGAGGAATGATTTCACACCAGCTATTGGGTCGCTGTCAACTTGAAGAAGCTCGTTATATGGAATGCCTGGAAGCTTACGGTTTGGAACGTGGCAAAGTCAAGTGCTCCCATTTATTTGGAGACTTCCATGAATGTCAAACTATGACTAAACAATTCAAGAGATTTGTTGTAAATATTTTTTATTTTTTATTTATGATAGTTAAATAACTCCGCCTGCGCTATTTGTTTACACTGGTAACATACGAATAATAGGTGAAAAAAAAACAAATCAGTTGGCCTGTTATGACCAATTTACTAGGAATTCACAATTAAGTTCCACTTAACAGATTTTAATGCAATAACTGTATTATAACTGGCTATTGTCAGCATTTAGCTATTGAAAACTATCAAAAATAAGGGAATTCAGTTTTATAAACTTTAAATCGACATGTTTTTGTTTTTCTTATTTAATCTTGTGTCTTTCGGATTGTGTCACCATAAATATTTGTATTCTTTACATAAGAGAGTTTAGAGACGGGATCAAACAATTGTTGTAAGTGTCTGTGTGTTGTAATATTATAAATGTGAAAATGTTTGTTTGTTACCTTATAGTGCCTTAACAGCTTAACCAATTACTGTGACTATTTATAACTTGGTATATATATAGTACATGAAGGATATCATCATCAACATTCAGCCATTAGCTGTCCATTGCTAAATTTAGACTTCCTCCATAGATTGTAATAAGCCACCTACTTCGACTAACTTCCTGTAATATATAGTGAAGGATATAGGCTACTTTTTATCCCATCAGCAAACATATCCTGGTCACGCGGACAAAGTCATGGATAAAAACCGGTATATAGTAAAAATTAATATATTAACCAATGTACATTATAAAAATTACAATAACTTGTTTCAGGCTATGAGAAATGAAAGAGACAAGCAAATAGCAGAAGGGAAATTGAAGGGAGATGAAAAATATGTGAACCCAAGAGTGGACAGTTTTTAAGATTATTAGATTCACTAATCCAATAATGTAATTGTTTATTAAGTAAAATAAAATTAGGAAATATTAAACTGTCTTATTTTCGAATTATACATCTCAGTAATCTAATTAGACCTGTCATGTACACTGAATAATTTATTACATCACTGAAGAAATCAAAGATGATTTGTTAATAAAAATAAAATGGCACATGAATAGTCAGAGACATCAATGTTATTCATATATTTAAATATTTTCGTGCCCTGTTTTTTGTTCTCTTTTGCCTGATAAAGAATGTGATTAGGCATCCCTATTATATTGTTCTTTTTACTTTTATAGATTGCTCAAACTTAACTTTAGTTACAAAATATAATATTGAGACACTGATGACTCTTGTATGAGGCTGCTACCTAAAATACAGGCTTATTCTAGGTCAGGTGTTACTTTATATTAATTTGTATAAATTTTTTTTAACTAAAATGCTATGCATAAACAATTATTATTATTTTATTAAACAAATTATAATTTTTCCAATTAATGCAAAAGAATAAGTATAAAATCATATTAATATAAACTAGCCACTATAGAAATATATTACTGGCCATTATAGTACTATTTATTCACAAAATATATTCCTATTGGAAAGCCTTATAATTTTACTCAATGGTTTCAGTGTATTTTTACAAAGTTATTGTATTTTTACAAGAGGAGGATCCATTATATTTAAAAAAGCTAAAATCTTTAAAAATATCTTCATATTTACGTTTACCATTCACGAATATAACTGGCGGTATAATATCCCATCAACTCTGGGGAAGATGCCAGAAAGAGGACATAAATGCTATGGATTGTTTGGACGCATACGGTTTTGACTGTGGATTGAAGAAATGTACTGTGTTAATTGAAGATTATAAAGAATGCCAGACCTTAACCAAAACAGTTGAAGAGATTTATCATAAGTAACTTTAAACATCTATTGGCCTATCCTAATAGCGTAAATAGTTTATATGAGAATTTAATTATTTCTTATAATTTATAAACAAAGATAATCTAAGAATACATAGTCTTATATTATTAGTATACATTTCATTTATTCCTCTGGAAGTCTGAAAAATCTAGATACATCTTCACATTAAAGAATAATTACAGGATTCTAATTCGCAGGACAGGCAAACTAATATGATTTGCTGCGTTTATTGCGTTTATTTATACATAACACTTTATTGGGAAATCTTAAATTATAGTATATATAGCTCTTAAAAAATATTGAGTACAATGACAGACTTATCCCATAAAAGGAATTTCTTCCAATCAACGTTTGAATGTATGATAGAAATTATGAGTTGGTGGAACAAAAAATAATAGCTAATTAATACTTTATTAAAATACAATATTATTTGTTATTATTCGTGTATATTACCAATTCAAAAATTTAGAAGAAAATTGTCATTTACTTAAAATATAAACTTGAACAATTTTAAATCCTATTACCCCAATGGGACGCTCTATGCTCCCTGTTGCAAATTGACAATCGCTCTAGATAGCGTCTGAGCGTTACGGGAGTTCGAACTATTGCTATGAGATTTCTGATAGGCGTTTTATTGTAATTCTACCATCCATACCATACCTTCACGCAATGAAGTGGGGAGTTTGTTAAGGATGTTTTTCATCGCCAGAGAATTAACAAAAATGGTTTCCAGAGGAAACAGCGTGGAACTTGGCTTAATAGGGTATTATTGCTAGCAAGAGTTAGTTACTTACTTCGCCAACGTATTTAACTATGAAAACACAGGCAAAACTACCATTCTATTTGGAGTAGTAATATACCCATTTTGGTCGACCTCCACGCAGTTCCCCCTCAAAACCATCGTGATTCATTCTCGTTGAATCGTCACAATGGGCTAACTGACCTGGTCATTCTTACCTATCACAACTCACTGGTGCCCTGCCAGCGTATACAGAGAGTGCAGGCGGGATTACCATTGCATTATCCTTCATTAAGAGACCATTCTATTTCCATGCACAAAAAAATAGTGTAACTTAATAAAAATTACATATATTATTGCATTCTCTTCTATACGAGATGCATTTCAAGACTGAATAGTTTTCTAGGACAGGATTATTTTAGTATTTTTATAGCAAAAACTAGCTGTATACCACGGCTCCGCCCATGGTTGTATCGTGATGTTGTATAGGCTATAACCTCGTTGAGAATTGAGTTACCAATTACTAGAATATTATTTAAAATCCAATTGGTCGACCGACTCTTCCGTTTTGTTTCATTAGTATAAATAATGAAAAAATTCTACTACTTCCAAGAAGTCTGTCAAGTGTAGTATAAATATAAAAATCCAGTTTGTATTTTGAAATATGCTACCGTATAACAGGTAGGTATCAATTTATACTCCGTCTTCCTAAAGGTTGTAAAGGTTACACTAAGTTTGGTGTTGAAAGGCAACGATCATTAATGTCGAGACATCATTAATCTACATGTAAACGTTTCTAATTGCTCTCAAATAATAAAATTACAATTTAGTTTTTCTCATACGGATTTGTTATTGGAATATAGGATGCAAAGTTTTAGACCAGATAATTTAAATGGTGTTTATTAGCAAATTAATTAATATTAGATAACAGTAGAGATAAGACACCGTGTGGTGGACTAATTTCTTTTAATGGGTAAAAATGGAATGGCGATCCTCCTGTGTTAATGGTATACGCTGACGAGGCACCAGTGAGGGATGACAGGTGAGAATGAAAAGGCGGATCAGTTAGTGCGTCGTGATGAATACACCTGGGATTCAGCACAATGGTTTCCAGGGACCACGTGGAGGTCGACCTGGTTAGGTATATTGCTAGCAATAGGAACTTTAGCTTCCATCACTAACAATCCCTTTCCCTCCTTACACCTTGTGGTCCCAACATAGAATGGGCCATCCCTTCGATTCCTGTGGGTGTCGTAAGAGGCGACTAAGGGAAGTTAAAGGTAGAAGGATAGGCAGCAGCGTCCCTCTTAAAATATCACCAAAGATTAACTGCATTTGCCAACCCGCCTGCCAAGCGTGGCAACTACTGGCAAAACTCCACTTATGAAGAAGGCCTATATAATGATAAAAAAAAGAAGTCAGGATAATAGTACAGAATTGATAATAGTATACCAGAGGAAAACAGTATAAAAGTCGTTTGCATAGTTACCACAGTCTCACCTGCGTTTCTATCATAAAGCATGACTGTGTTTCGGTGTAGGATGGGATATAGCAGTAAGATTACGAAGTACGCAGGCTTAACACCATGGCTCTCAAAAATAGCAACACACGAGTTGTTCCGAGAGCATCACAGTGTATTCTGTGATCACTGTGATATCCATGGAAATAGTATATAGGCGTACACATTACATATATATATATATATATATATATATATATATATATATATATATATATATATATATATATATATATATATATAGTGGGCTGTCAACTTGTTTGCGATAAAATATTGAATTATTCTAAATAATATATGCAGTATTCGCGTACTGCTACATTTCTCCTAATAGATGAAAATGGAATTGTAACACTGTCTGCACTATGGTTTACACTGGTAAAGTATAGAATAACTGTTTTATAGAATAACTATTGGCCCCTCGTAGCCAATTTACCAGATAACATGTTTTCAGATAATATAATGATTTCAGAGAACATATTGCTAGCAAATAGGACATATTGCTAGCAAACCGCTATTATTCCCCGTTAGTAAAAATTGCTTTCCATTGATTTAAATAACTTTATTGACCAAAAGAAAATATTATACAAAAGGCGGACTTAATGGTAGTAGCATTCTCTACCAGTCAACCTTTGGGATGAACAGTAAATCACGAACGCAGGTATATCATATTTACCCTCCCTTACGGCTAAGTTGGTAATTCTAAGTTACCAACTTATATTACTACTACTACAATAGACTGTTCAATGAAAAATTAATTAAAACGTAAGTAAATTTTGTTAAATGTATCATAGAAAATCTCTCTAATTGAAATTAGTAACAAATTGAAACGTTCAGTCAATTGATTGTATTTTTATTTGTTCTACTATTGTAATATACATATCCGACTCTCTTATGGTCAGAACAATTATTGTTTATACTTTCCTTAAATTCTGTTAAACTATAACTGATATACCTATTTTTTTTAATGGATATAAATGGAATAGTATCCTCGCCTCTGATATTGGTATTCACTGGCGAGGTAGTAGTGATTGATAATAGATAGGAATAAGTATTTGCCGTTGACCCTTCGTGACGAATTCAGCAACAAATATTTGCGATGGTTTCCAAGGGGAACTGCGTGGAGGTACCTGATATATTGCTAACAATCGTACTTTTGGACCCCATTACTATTTTCCTTTTCTCCTCATCGCAGGAGTTTTTTTTTTTTTTATGGGTGAAAATTGAACACTGACGGAGCGCCGGTGAAAGATGATAGATGAGGATGAAAGCAAGTCAGTAAGCCCATTATGACGAATTTATCATCGTGGTTTCCAGGGGAAAGAACGTGAAGGTCGACCCGATAAGGCATATTTTAGTAATGGGACTAATATACCCTATAACTAACAATCCTTTTCCCCCACCATGATGGTTTCCATAGGGACCGCATGGAGGTATATTGCTATCAATGAAATTGCTAGACTCCATTACTAACAACCCCTTACCTCTGCGCAGATCATATTAATCATGGGATTCCTAAATGGGCAATCTGTACCCAGGGGGTGCCTACAAACTACAGATGAAAAATATTGTCGAGGCTGACCCAAGATCTGATGAAGTTGATGGCCTGGACGCATTTAAAACGAACTGGTTCTTCTAGGTGACACACTACAAAAACTGTTGAAAAGAAATGAAATGATCTTTAACTTATCAGAGGAACAACATGGGTTAATAATAGACAAATACATACGTAGGTATTAATTATAAATTATCTTTTAAAAATATCGCGCGTAACGATCTGAGCTAACAGACGGAAATCGCTCTTTTTAAATGTTGTTAATGACAGCAAAGGATACTGGAGTCTATTTGGCGCGTTCAATACCTCTGTTTT